TGGTATATGTGATATATTAAGGAACTTATCAAACTTTGTGTTTACTCTTTAAAGTTAAATGTTTTTCAGGTTGTTCCAGTGAAAAAAAAAAAAAAAGAAAAAAAAAAAGTTGTAGCATGATTTGTTTTGAGGCTTCGGCTAAACTCTTATTTATGTATTCATGATGTTTGAAACAATTGGACACTTATCATTTTTGTATGAAAATGGTTTTTGAAATGTTTTACTTATATTTTAAAAAGAAATGTTAGACGTTACATTTAGAGTGACCATTTTGGTTTGGCTACCATTATGCAGAGACCTCTATTTGACTTTGTTTTGGGTCTTCTTAGATTTGGAGGGTGGGTGATACCCGACTAGTTATCAAATTTGTTTTGTTTTTTCTTCGGCTCTTCATGGATTTTGTGCAATATTTTGATGGATCATTCGAATCGATTTTCAGATGCAAGTTGATCTTTAGGCTCGAAAATTTTAAGCCATTGTGCAATTTGGCAATGATCACGACAATGTATTAGAGGTTTGAATGCTATCATGGATTTATGTGTTGTCCTAAATATCCATGACTTATTTGTTGAAGTGTTTATTAAAAATAGTTGAATACCATTTCTTTTTCACTACTAGAGTAACCGATGAAGTTTCCACCAACACTTGTCATAGACATAGATATAGATTTTCCACAAACTCCTCCTTATCAACTTCAACTACTCCTAACAAAGCAAAAGTTAGTTTCAAAGTTCCAAAGCTAGTCAAATATAATAACACATAAATAACAATGACAATGATAACAAAATAAAATAAACAATCTTCGCCTTTTTGGCGATGAAATTGCAAAGGGGAGTGACTTCTCTATATTGTTCCAAAGAAGAATGAGCACAAAAAAGTAGAGTGCTAAATTTGATTTGTACACAAAAACAAAAACAAAAACAAAAACAAAAAACACCACATCAAATCAAATATCAATCTAAGTAAAATAGGGTTACAATCTTCCTCATATTCTTGGCTTCTTGACATGTCTCCATCAGCAATCTGCTGTCATGGAATGCAAAACAAATCACTTGCTGCACTTGAGATATTATATCCATGTTACACAGCCTACAACAAAATCAAAATCAAATATTATAATAATATAAAAAAAACTAAATACACGAAAATAATAACAAATCAGTGGTTATTTTTAAAGATTTTACAAACCTGCTGGCTTCAATCAATGGGAGATGATCGTTGTGTGGTTTTTCAATCACATTCTTCACCTGCAAATCCAAGAAAAACATATCTACTTTAGAAAGGGTAAAAAGGTAATTTTGTATGAATAAAAGTAAAAACTAGAATCTTACTTTTGAAAGTAACTCTTGGCTTTCAGGAGGTTGTTTTTTCAAACTTTGAGGTAAGATTACAGTAAGCAACTCTGGTCTTTCAGCTCTTAATGCACCTCTGATTACAGCAGCATTTGTTCCAGAAGCTCCTGATGTGAAGATGTGGTTTTTCTGCATAAAATAAGTCTTTAATGAGATGATACATCACAAATATATAAAAATAAATAAATAAATTGATTTCATATTTATGTAAATGTATATATATATACCGTTATGACCATAGCATAACTAAGAATCTCAATGAGTTCTTGATGCATGAATCCCATGTTTCTTGTCCCAAAAAATCCAATGTTTCTTGGACCTTGTTGTTGGATTGCTAGTAATTCCTGAAAAAAAGTAATAAAGTAATTAAATTTTAATCAGAAACTCAAATAAAACTATAATAAAAAGATGGGTTCTAGTTATTTTTAGAAAATAAAACTATAACTAACCAAAATCATGAAGGTTTATAAATAAAAATGGGTTGTATTACAAATGTTCATTCCATTCCATGAAAAGGGAAACTCTGGAATCAGCCTAAGGAAAGGAAATTAACAAAATGGAAGGAATCAGATTCCTTTGTGAATGGTCTGTTGACTATTCCATTCCATTCGGGAATCAGATTCTTTCATGAATGGTTTAATTTCATTCCATCATGCAAAACAAACAACTTTTTTTTTCATTCCAACGGAATTAACCATTCCCATTCCTTCCAATTATATCCACATCAAGAAAGTGAAACTTTTTTCATTTGTGTATGTATAACTTGAGATGTGCAATAAGCCAATAAGTAATTCTTGATTATAGCTAGCAAAATCAAGATTTGAGCTAATTTTAGTGATGATAAATGAGGAACAAACCTGTAGGTAATCAACATCAGGGGCAGGTTTATATTCTGAGACAAGAACAGCACCTGAGCCTTCCACAACGGTTTGAGCTTGTGTAGGAAGTTGAGATCCAAATTCATCATCAGAACCAAACATTTGCACTTCATTTCCATCTTCAATCTTTAAACAAACAATCGCTTGATGTCTTTTACCACAAAGCCACTATATCAGCACATAAAAAACAGAGGGCCCTGGTAGTAAATTATCAGTGAAATCAACTGAGCATTCAAAGAAACGTTTAACAAGCATGTAGGGGTCTGTAATCTGTTTGGTTAAAGGGAATGGAAATATGGAATGGAATCAGTCATTACATTTTATGATCATTGTTGTTTATCAGACAAAACAAAAAGTTTTGTTGTTTCATTTGAATGGAATGAGCTATTCCATTCCTTCCTCAATTCCATCATACCAAACACTACCCAAGGGATTAGAGGCCTCAATAAAGAAGATTTGATGTAAAAGAGGCGAGTAACCATATTGTGAACTTGAAAAAACCATACACTGATTTAGGATTTTTTGAGAGGAATCTTGTTATTAAGAAAAAATCAAATAAAATTTATCAATAGTCAATACAAGGTTAACAACATGACAACAAAAAGGTCAAGAAATTGTTGAAAGAGACTCCTAAATCATATAACTAATCCTAGGAAACTTCACAATTGATCAACCAATTGGGATTTGTTTTTATGGATGGAGCATAATGGATACTGGATAGAAAAGCATGGCGAACTCTGTAACAGAAATCAAGGAATTAGGTTGAGATCTAATGAGGAGCGCTACTCAATAGAAAATGAAGAATCCCATTTTTTTATTTAACCAAAACGCAGAAAAATGAGAAAAAAGAACAAGTCTGTGAAGAACTATACGAAATCAAACAAACTAAAACGTACTACGCAAACTAAACATCCAGAATTCAATTCTACATCATATCAAACACCTTGTATGGTTGAGATAGCGAAAAAGGGAGCAGGGTTTTACCGGCTTCCTGGTGAAGAGAGTTTGTGGACCAGACACCTTGAGAGAGAAAGAAGATGAAGATGAAGATGAAGAAGAAGAAGAAGAAGAAGGTGAAGAAGAGAGACGTGCAGCAGCAATAGTAGCAGCACCAGTAGGGGTGAGAAGAGGCAACAACAATAGCCTCGTCGATGTCATTTTCTTCTTGATTTCTCCTCCGCCGGCTATAAACTTGTTCCGGCGACCAGTCTGAGTATGAATCTGTACCCGTTTTCACCCAATTTTCCGGCGACCGTCGGTTTGTGCTTCAGTTATTATCTCTTCTTCCCTTCTGCTGTGGGAGAGTCTCAAGAGAGATAGGAGGGGTCGGGAATTTGAGGAGAAAAAGGGCTTCCCTTTTTGTACCCTTTCTAATTTGCTCTTTCTCTTCATTTATATATATTTTTACCTAAAGTGATGTATTTTAAGATTATTATAAATCAAGATGTGTAATATTTTAATAATATGATGACATGATTTACATCTGCTACTAGAAATTAGATTTAAAAAAATAACATTATTTCTTTTTCTTTTTTTTTCACTTTTAATACACTTGATAACATATCTCTAAATTTCATAATTCATAATAACATATTAAACATATATTTCATAATTCATAATAATATATTAAATATATAGTAATAGCAATAGCAATAGACTCCGTGAATCTCATTGAAAATAGGATAAAAAAGGTAAATATCATCGGTCTTCCTTTTCTTTATAAAGGATAGAATGATACCTTTCAATATGACTTCTGTCCTAATGAATCAGTATCTTATAAAAGAGGTAAAAAGTAAATCCAAATAAATTTGATAACTGAAAAAAAAAATCACATAAAAAAATCACATGTGAAAAGTAGAAAAAGATATGCAACAAACATATCAAAAACATATAACCATCATCATGTTATTCTTTCATTGTTATAACTTGCATTTTAGAAAAGCTATGATATGTTGCCATTTTCATATATGTTAAAATAAAAAAAATAAAAGATATGGTTTTGTACCATGGTTTTTGAACATTTTAAATTTTTTAAACACCTTATTTTAAGGTTGAAGCCTGTGAGATTCGATTCAAATACATGTCAACTTCATTTTTTAAGTGTTTTAAACACATTTTTTAAAACGACAGTTTTGATCACCATTAAACTATCGAAAATGCTAACGATATGAAGATGCTAAAAGGGTGGCCACCTCATCACAACACCCCTCTATCGCCACCACTACCACTAGGGTGGTCGAAAAAGAGAGGGAGAGAGAGAAAGAAACTTAGATTTTTTTTTTAAAAAAATAAAAATAACTTCGATATAAAAAGCCCAACAAAAGCCAACGTGTTCATCTATCTACCAAACCAGTTGATGTCAAAAAGTCATCAGTACGTTAAGAGTGTTCAATTTGGTTTACTCATGTTGAAGCTATGCGCATCTACCAAACGGATTCATGTCAATCACATCTCTCTATCAAAATTCACAAAAGACACCAATTCTACGAAATGATATTCAACATTTATATTAAAAAACCTCCATCTCAATCCTTCTCTTCACTTCAAATTACATCTTTGCCCCCACACCCCATCTCACCTTTTCTTGCATATCCTAACGTTTACCAAATAAAGGGTAGTAGAAACAACAATAATCAACATCTAAAAACCAGTATCTCCAAAACCAAAAACAAAAAAAAAAAAAACAAAAAACAAATTCTGTTTTTTACTTTATAAAATATAGCACAACACTCTCAACCACAAAGAAAAAAAAAATTTTAAAAAAAAAAAACTAGTCAGAAACAGAAATAACCAAAGGCTTCCCCCGCCCCATAGCAAATCCCCTCGTGCCATCTGGCATTCGTGGCCCCGGAGGTTGCTTCCCCCCACCACCACCATGCTCAGGGGTATTTACGGAATTTCCCAACACCGGTGCCACCACATGAGCCATTCTATTGTTGTGATGATTATTATATTGTGACCTTCCTCTCCCCTGCCCCTGCCCCTGCCCCTGCCCTTTCCCCCGCCCACGGTTCCGCCCTTTTTTATGCCCGCCCTCTTTCTCATTCGCCTGATCCTCAACCTGATACAAAAAGTAAAGAAACAAAATGACCAATCTACCCTTTTCATATCCAAAAAAATATATATATATATCCATACTATTATTTGCTCGTGTGACTGGACATCAGATTGTTGGTTGGTGTCTTCCACTTGTTGATCTGATGTGGATGTGTCATCTTCTTTTTGGGCAGCCTCTTCTTCCTGCCCGGATTTCTTTCCACGTGCCTGGGCAGCTTTCACCTGAACCTTTTTTTTTTTTTTTTTTTAATCAGTTTTATACATAATTAATCTCAAATATATATATTAATAAATATAAGCACAAACCGGGCGTCTTAGTAAACGAACTCTCAAACCATTTCTCCAGCTTCCCTCTTTGTTTAACTCCATAACCTAAAAAACAATAAAATTAAATCTTGAAGGAAAAAAAAAATTATATTTTTTTTAAAAGATTATTGGTATTGATACTTACTGCTTTTTCTGCAAGCTCAATGGACTCGTATTCCACAAAAGCATGCAACTTTGCCAAAAAAAAAAAAAATGAAAGTTAGATATTTATAAAGAAAAAAAAAAAGGAAAATAAAGTACATTGCCTATAATTTATAAAGATGATAATGCATACCTTGTTACTGAAGAGCATACCATCTGCTTTTGCTGTTCTTGAATTTGAAGATGGCCCACCATTTGAAGCTTGAGGCTGACAAGTACGGATTGTTTTTACACTGATGAAAAAAATCAAATACTAGATTAAATACATAATGTCTTCTAGAATGTTCTAGAACAATGTTTGACTTAAAGTCAAATGTGTAGTACCTTCCAACAACTGAGAAAACCTTCATTAGGTTCTGATGACAATGATCCTCAGGTAAATTTTCAGCAACGATTATCCGAGACTATGAGAGAATAAAAAAATGTGAAAAAAGATTCTTAAAAGTTTGAATCTTGAATTTTGTCAATGCCTCAATGGATGTATAATTGTGTATACCTGAAGTTCTTCCATGTCTGACTCGGTCAATGGATGTTGACGTTTGACTTTCTTCCCATCTTCACTAACCATCTATAAATGAGAATGTAGAAGTTAAGAAAAAGAGAGAAATTATTTAATGTTTATAAATTGGAGTGGGAAAATGTGTTTAAAGAGCTTCACCAGTTTTGTAGAGTTTCTCAGTATGCTAGCAAGCTGGGAGTTGCTGTTGACAAGGGCTTTGATTTTCTTGAAAGATACAACAACAGATATTGGCACTGAAAAAATGTTGAATTTGAGGTTAATGATATTAAGATGTGGAATTTAAGAATTTTGATTGTTTCTCACATAATGGAAGGAGTGGGTCTTACCATATCCTTCAGGATCTTTGTTGATGAACCTCATTAAATGATCAGTAGTTGCCAAATTTATATCGCTGAAGTAATATTCCACCTACAGAAGTTATATCATAAAGATGTTAATTGTGAAGATCAAAAGCACAACGGATTTATTTCATAACAACGTCTTCACCCACGAAAACAATGGTGTAAACAAGATAACCAAGTTCTTAGTTGTATGTCTGAATCTGTATTCAAGTTAGCTTTAGACATTGAAGGAGAAAGCAACTAAGCAAGACGAGTAAGCATACAGACTACAGAAACACATTCCTATGAATCATAAGTCTAATGTAAATCATCAACAAACATCAGTGCCCTAGTTCATAGTGGCAATTGAGAAAAAAACAAAATTAGATAAATAAAGCATCAATTCACTCAGAATCGTGTAAAAGCAAGTAGAGATAGGGGCATAACCCTGCCTGATTGAGAATCTTCTGAGTAGCTTCATCAGTGAGACCATCTTTCGAATCTGGATCTCCATGAACTGTTCGCTGAGCTTGAACCGATACATCCTTATGATCGAGGAACCCCGTGGCGCCATTAAAGGGGCGTGGATGATTATGATTATGAGTGTGATTATGATGTTGGTGATGGTGATACTGAAGCGGAACATGATGATGGTGATGATGAGGGTGATGGTTTTGCACAGGGACAGAAACGGGAACGTGAGTCGGGATCGGGGGGTGAAAAGGAGAATTAGGTGAAGGATATACATGAATTATTCCCGGAGAAGTCGGAGGAGGGGAGATAACTAGCCTCGGCTGAGATAGATCGGCGCGAGTAGTGACAGTAGTTGAAGTCGTAGTAGAGGATGACGACGGGGAAGATGCGGCGGTGGTAGTTCGAGGAACAAATTCCGGAGCCTTAGCGTTGAGACGACTAGAGGATACGTTACGTGTGAGAGTTGGATTGTTGGTATCACTGGAACTTGAAGTAACAGTAGAAGCTGATTGCTGAAGATCGTCATGGTGGATTACAGATTCTAGGGTTTGGGAAGAAGATGGGGGTTCTTGAGCCATATTATTGGGTAATTGTATGTATATGTTGAAGGGGATCTGCTATGCTTGAAGTGTAGAAACCTAGGGTTTGTCTGATGCAGACGAAGCAAGATCCCCACTTCCTTCTTCCTCTCTACCTGTGTCGATGGAGACACTAGAGAAGGTTTCCCTGCCTTTCCACAACCTTTCCCCCTTCACTTATTTATTTTACCACCAAAGGAAAAAAGAAATACAATGATTTTGATATTGTTTTCTTTTGATAAATCTTTTACCTAAAATAACAATAATACATTACTTTTTATTTATTCTAAAACTAAATATCTGATTATGTTTGTTGTAGTAATTGTCATAAAAAAAATCTTTGTCATAAAGAAATTTCATGTGTATCTTCAATATTGCATAAGATGAGTATTGTGACTTTTAGGGTACAAGTGTCCAATACATTTGATTTTATAAGATATTGTCAACCAATCCAACTTATATATGACAACTTTAAATTTATTCCGTCATTGTATCCCGTTTCCGTTAATAAAATTTATTTTTATTAAAAATTTTCGTTAACTTTTGAATTAAGTTAATTAAATTGGGACTTTTATTTTGACTTCATAAGTGTCGGAACACATTAGAAACACGTTTAAAACACCCTCGACATTCATTTAGAAAAGTTTTAGTTACCACTAAGTCGGATTACGACAATTTAATCGGGTAAAATTTTAAACCCCGTTTAACGTCGGTATTGGATGGATGCCCACTTGCTCACAAACTCAAGCCTTATATAAAGGATGAGTGGCCTTCATTTAAGCTTTTTCCCACCTCCTCATAACTTTCTCTCTCTACTCTCTCTCTCTCTCTCTAAAACTCGAGTTTTGATTCAAAAACGCCATTTCAAGCTCCAAAATCGTAAGTGATCTATCCTAACTTGTTGTTTAACATGTTAAGCATGCAAATCTATGTTTAAATCATCCAAAACACTCGATAACTTGTGTTTACGGTTTGGGAACACCTCCCAAAACCGTAAACTTCCTTAAAGGGGTTTTGAAGCCCCAAAACTCTTCCAAATCCTTTCTAGTGTTTGACAAAGACTTAAGGACTTGCATATACGAGCTTAGAACACCAAAACCATGTCATTTGAGTAGCAAACATGAGTTTACAGCCCAAGAACATTCTTGGACAGTAAACACACCTTCATAGACCGCAAACACCTTTTAAGGTGTTAAATTGCCCCTTAAACACCTCCAAAAGCTTCCATGAGTGCCTAGAACCTTGTATTCCTTCATGTGATGCACCAAACCATGCCCCAAATGAGCAAAACTTGAGTTTACGGTTTGGGAAGGTCTTCCAAAACCGTAAACACCTCCAAAGGGTGTTTAAGTGCCCTTAACACCTTGAATGGCTTATATTTGGGTCTAGAACTTTGTATGCTTAACCTACAACCACCAAAACGCATGAAGAATGAACCAAGCATGAGTTTACGACCGTAAACTCATGTGTTTATGGTAGTAAACCCACCAAGGGTCCTTCAAGAACCATAAACTCCTTTTCCAAGGTCAATTCATGTCCCGATCACTTCCTAAGCCTTTTATTCAACCTTAGAACCCTCCCTTGTGCATTGTAAGACCTTTAAACACCCAATAACACACCACCCATGATTTTACGGCCGTAAACTCATGGGGATATGGTCTTTGGACCGTAAACACCCTAAGGGTCTACTCTTGAAGAGTGAACTCCTTATCTAGGCCCTACACACCTTTAGATGCAACCCGGATCATTCCTAACACTTGAGATAAAGTGTTTTCGCGCCTCGGAGTGTGTTTTCTTACTCCGAGAAACTACACTAAAGGGAACTGTTAAGTACAGACGATGCCTAGAAATGATAGTAACACCTGGGTCGAAATACCAAATCCCAGCTTAAGTCTAAATTAGTAGTTCAAAGTCTAATTAGATACAATTATGTATCTCCTTATATTACATAGGAACCTCGCGCGTGTTCAAGCCTTAAACTGATACTTAGCATCCTACCCGACACATTTCTCGTCTGGTGAGTTCATACCCCTACACCATTTTCCGTGTTTTTTCATGTTTTCAGGGGGGAGAATACAAGCAAAAGTACAAGGAAACTTGTACTCAAAATTTATTATTTCGTATGAAATGTTACATGTTTAGTATGCTTTTAACACTGAAATCCGTATTAACAAACCGTTTAACTTGCAGAGCTAGTTTTCAAACTAATTGTGAAACTTATTATAAAATGCTCTAATTTATATTTCACAAATGATTTTCCACATCATTACTATTAAAAGCATGAACCTTAGAACTATAAATACGTCCTTGATAACACTCCCCCTAGATACGAGAGTGAAGGACTAATAACATTAAACTTAGAACTTTAGACATGTCCTTGATAACACTCCCCCTAGATATGAGAGTGAAGGACTAATAACATTAAACTTAGAACTTTAGACACGTCCTTGATAACACCCCCCCTAGATACGAGAGTGAAGGACCAATAAAACAGAATTTTCCGTATTATTATTTTTTTAAATTCATAAATCTTAAGATTGGAGACACGTCCTTTGTAACACTCCCCCTAGATACAAGAGTGTAGGACTACCCCTGTAACCGGAATCTCCTAGAGGGAGAACGTGACTTGAGTGTATAGATCTATACGGGATTGACTGCCCCTCACCTGACTGCTAGCTACAGTCGGACCGACTGGTCCACTGGTGACAAAAGTCATAAAACGATACTGGCCCTGTTACGAGCCTTATCTAGTCTATTGTATGGTTATGGAACTTCTACTTACTTATTACTTTTATATATGTGTTAAAACTAATGTACTTTTCAAGGAAAACCAGACTTTCAGGATACTTCTCTTAACGCTACAAGTATGGTAGATACTTGTACACTTCATTCCGAATCGATAACTGATATGTGTATTTTTATATATATTTTTATGCACTTTATCTTAATATTTTGGCCTTTATTATTCTCTTTTAGAACTAAAAAGTACTCATAATGCTTTAAATTATGTTTTGCAGCTATTCGTTGTCGATAAAGCACAAAAGAAAAGACTAAAGTGGAAACCGGACTTAGAAGCTTAAAGAAATGAAAAATGTTGGAGGACCATTTACGCCCAACGTAATACTTGTACGCTAAGCATAGTGCCCAAAATCACAGTACCCCCTGCGTAATTAAAGGGTACGCCCCGCGTACTGGTTGGCCTCGGATAAGTTCAATCGCGTAGTGATCCTTAGTACGCCCCGTGTAATCCGATGTACGCCCAGCGTACGTAAGTCGGTTACAAAGGTTATAAAAGTCGATTTTCAGCTAACCAGGAGGGGGGATTCGACTTCTAACCTAATTTAGTCGATAATTAACTTCTGTTAAGCCGTTTTGAGGGTCTAGAAGGCGGCCGGAAGGTTGTTAAGCTAACGGGAGCGGAGATCGGAAGGGTTGGAGAGCGGATACGTGTCGGTAATCATATGGGCTGTTAAAGTGACCATGTTTAGCATTCTATTGTGTTACTATTCTGTATTTAGTTTCTGATTTGGGTGTAAAAACCTTTTACTTTGTGTTTATGATTGAATGAAGCTTTGATTATTAGACTAATTGGTATATTAAATAGTTTGTTTGTGTTTAATGTATCTTGCCAAGCTTGTTAAAAGATCCTTACGTATTAATGATAATTATTTGCTGTTAATTGTTAAGTGAATTGAGTTGTATGAACATATGCTTAATTGCTTGTCTCTTATGATTTTGATGACCATCGAGATTATAAGTCTAGGAATAACGAATGTGAAACTAGGATTAACATGGGAATAAGTAAGTTAATGTGTGAGCCTTGTTTGATGACCATCAACAAGAGGTTAATTGAATGTCTAATTTGATTAACTATATTTGCAAGTCTTGCTTGATACAAACTGAACACTAGGAAGCATGTTAGTTTAATCAACTGATCACTGTTTGAATCAATAACTTGTGTGCTAAAGGATTAGTTATCGTGAACGCGAATCTAATCATTTTAGGAATCGGTGAACATGAATAAATGACTTTGTGTATGCAATTGTCTATGTTTTTTAAGGTGTAATTTGTCTAAACCAAAGTACTTGAAGAGATTTGTTTTCCTGTTAGTTTATCAAGAGTTGTTAATTAATTATTAGTTTGAGATTTATTAAACTATTTCTTTTATTCTTTTCGTGTGACCTGTAACCTATAATCAAATATATTAAATTAATCCACCGTTCCCTGTGATCGACACCCAACTTACCTAAGCTATACTGTAATCTGACTAGGTACATTGCCTATAAGTGCATAGTTAGTCTAAGTTTGTTAGGTTATAAATATTAAAATTAATGGGTATTTTCGTGCACATCAAGTTTTTGGCACCGTTGTCGGGGAAAGACTTATCATTAATTTAGTTTATTTGATTATTCGTTATTTGTTTTTAGTAGTTTTTATTTTTAGTTTGATCTTCGTTGATATCATTTCACTTGTCGGGAAGGTTCTTGTTGTTATTTGCAGGAATTTGGGATTGTACACATTGCTTGACTTTACTTTTTGCATGGGTTTCGAGAATGAAAGCGATTAGGGAATTCTTGACCTGCTTAGCCTACTACTTTGTTGATTTGTCCAACTCAATCCATGAGGCGTAGTATAGCAAGGCGTATTGTGGTGGTTAAGTGGAAGACCGAGCTCTTGATGTTCTTGACTAGTTAGGTCACTTCTTGTTCCGCTTTTAGTTAAAGGTGCAAAGAAAACAAAGGAAATATTCTAACGGGTCCCGAAAGTGGGTGTTTTCGTAAACCAATTCTTTCATGCAAAGGTTTTTGATCAACCGTTGTTGTTTGATCTCGACAAAGATAAGTGATTATGACGTCTCAGTTTTTTTTTTATGTCACTCATCGGAAAATATCAGTTGTTGAAGCAATTAAAAAGAAAAATAATTAAGTTTTTAGTCCCTAAATTAATTAGTTAAAAGAAAGGAATTTCAATTAAGAAAAAGGGAAATTTTCATTTAAAATTACGCCCAGCATAAGTTTGATTACGCCAAGCGTAATTAACAACTGATCGCGTATGGATTTTCAAGGAGATGGGGTTACGCCCGGCGTAACTTCGCGTTACGCCCAGCGTAATACGACGACCATGTTATATCTTTTGACCCTTGACTTTTGTGTTATTCTTTCAATCCTCTTCTACTCTCGCATACGCTGTGACGACAAAACCCTCCTAAAGATTTTCGATTCTTCTTCATTTCTTGTAAAATTCAGCACACAAGTAAGTTTTTCGGTTACTCAATGTTATGCATTTGTGTTTCAATCGATGGAATAAGTTGCAAATTGCCTTTGATAGAAATCTAGGGTTTATGGGGTTCTTGAATTAGGGCCGATTTCGCCAAGATATGTTCCGATTACCACTTGAATAGACCGATTTCTATCAATTAACTAAACCCTAGGACCTAATTTGGTCTTAATCCCGTTCCACACCCATCGATTGAAGCTCGGGGACGTACGCCAAGCGTAGCCCTGTAAACTTCGATTCTTGACTATGCAGTTTCCCTGTTAAGTGGTTGTTAATTTTGAATAGATACGAGATTATGGGGAATGGATTTTTAAAGATGGTCCCGATTCTCTCTTACTGCCTTTGGACCACGCAATATTAACAACTTAACTGTGCTGTTGCCCCTGCTGTGTTTATTTTGATATGGTTTATGACTTTAGCACAAGTAAGGAAACCAGGACACAGACTCGTGAACCTGGACGTACGCCCAGCGTACGCTGGATGTACGCCCAACGTACAGACCATGTCCAGCTCCAATTTTTTTGGTTTAAAAATTTGTTAATGCTGCTATATGCTGTTTGGTTTTGTGTTTGTGTTAATATGTGCAGATTATGGCCCGAAGGACGCAAAGGACCAACCCACCCGAGGATGTGACCGATCACCGTTTTTTACAATTTCCGCAAACGCTGAACGATGCAACCCGGGAGCGTTATGTCACCAACTTGAGCTTGCTTCTCACCAAAGAGATCGATATAGCACCATCATTCGATTGGGAATTGGCTACCCGGACTGGACTATACACGCACTCGGACGCGAGTGGAGTGGATTTGTTCGTGTGTCGGGGATGGGCACGTTTGTTCAGGATCCAGGAGCCTGTTTATCGGGAGTTTTTGCTGGAGTTCTACGCTACAGTTTCCTATGATCCTAGGAAGGCACCCGATGACAGGACAACCTTTGCCTTCAGACTGGGGGGAGTGAGCCGGGAATGCAGCGTGATAGAGCTTGCGACTCGAGTGGGTATTTACACAGCCGATGAGACGAGGAGTGTCCACTTCCCGGCATTCATTGCTGATTGTCTCACGAAGCGACCAGATGACTATAACGAGAACACTTTTTGGGCCGAGATTACGAGAGGAGTTTATACACCATCTACCGCACGAGGGAGGATGATTCGGTCTACTACATACCGAATGCTGCACCGTTTGATTTCTATGTCTCTCACGCACCACAAGAACAGTGAGAGAGTCCCTTCGACAGACTTGTATTTCCTATGGGTGCTTGTTACTCCAGGGAGGCACCTAAACCTTCCAGTTGCTTTAGCTGTATATTTGGGACAGAGGGCCAGGGGACTTCGGAAGGATAGCCCGATTTGCGGAGGGCATTTTATCACGCGTTTAGCCCGGTCATATCAGTTGTTGACGCGTGAGATCACGAGATCGATGGTGTTCCACGACATGAGGCCGATGAGTCTTCAGCTTTTAGAGTCGATGTGTGTATTGGAGCGGGGTGGAGATGGTGTCTTGAGAGTACGAGCAGATGATGTGGCGGATGAGGAGGGTGCCGCCGAGCCACAGCCGAGACGGGTCCAGCAGCGTAGACCTGCTCCTCGGGGAGCGCAGCAGGGACCTGAGCCTGAGATTGATATGCGCTACCTAGCTCAGGGCATTGACCATCTTGACATGAGGGTCCAACACCTTAGTGAGTATGTTGCACATGTGGACAGGCAACAACAGTGGCATGGCGATGCGTTGAACGCATTCTTTGCCCACCAGGGGTTTCAGTATTCGGTTCCCTACCCACCACCATTCCAGTCACGATATGATGAGGCCGGTACTTCTGGGACACAGCAGCATGATGATGAAGATGATGAGTGATTTAGTTATCCTTTTTATTTTTATTTTTATTTTGTGTTATTTCTAGTTTAGTTTAGTATTTTTATTTGGTGTGTAATTGATCTTTAATTTAGTTTGTTTTACTTTTGTTTTCCATGTTGATGCTCTTTGGTTGTTTAGATCTCTGCAGAATTTTCGCTCTTAGAAAGCTGGCAGTAAGTTCAGCAGCTAGGTCCGACTGTTGCTAGAGAGAGTCGTGTGAGAGTTCGAAGATTATAGTCAAGACCCACAATTTGTCATAAGTGTGGGGTGCATATTTATTTCAGTTTTATTTCGACACGGGGAAGAAGTATCATCCCGGCTGCCACGACATGGTTGACACTTTCCTATGTTGTGGGGGATTTTTCATCGCGAGAAGAGGATGTCATTCTTGACGAGACGACGTGGTCGACACTTTCCCACGTCATGGTTATTATACATTGCATTTGTTTGCAATCTTTTGCACCACATTTTTGAAGTCGGCAGTCTTGATTTTATTTTTCGGCAAATTCAGAAGCAGCAGTTCCAATTTTCAGTTTTTCAGCAATATTTGAAGCAACCTGTAGCAGCTCCATTCGATCTCGCCACAACTACCCAGGGGAGTCTGTTCCTTTTTCTCCCTTTTATGTTCTTAATTTTTTTAGCATACAATGAGGGCATTGTATGAAATAAGTGTGGGGTAGGGGGTCGGTAAAAGTAAATTATAAAAATGAAATAATAGTTGGAAATTGCTAGATTTAGGGAAATTTAAAATTTTAAAAGAAAACTTGAAATAATAGTTTAATTTAGAAAAATCTAGTGATAATTTAAAATTTTGCTAATATTGTATGAGATGATCCGATGAGAACTCAAATGTTTAGTTGAGCCAATATACGTTATAGTGCATTTGTGGCTTCCCTTAATTTAGTGAAATGATGGAACAAAAACATAACCCCGCTTGGTTTGAGGGATGCAATATGTTTAGCAGCCTAAACCTAAAATATATCCAGGAAAATTATTATCATTAACCAATAAAGGTTGAGGTTGAGCGCCTCTACTTAAGCATGTAGGTTTTTAGTGAAAAAAGTGAGGAATGCATGTAAAAAAAGAGAGAATTACGAGAAAAGTTTGAAGAATTTTGGAGCAAATAAAGTGAAGATCAAAAGATCAAAATTCCAAGAAATTCAAAAAGTTGAAGATACCAGAAATCAAATCAAATAAGGTGGTAAATTCAAAGAAATCAAAGATTAAATTATCAAGGAAGTGAAGAATTCCTAAAAAGCTCCATAGTGGTATCATAAATTGTAATTCTAGATTATGTATGCTTAGGTTGCTCAACTAAAAATACCTTGAGGTTAAGAAGGTTTTCTGCGGATGGATTCGGAGGGTTGCATAAAATGAGCATTGTTCGGAAAAAGTGGGCAAGTGTTTATGAAGATTGTGAGTATTTAAAGTATGGGGGTACTTTAGGAAAATTTTAGACACAAATGCATGCGTTGACGTTTTGGCATAATGGCTGAGTTTTAATGGATTGTTTAGTCAATATTGGTAAAATGAAAGTAAATTTGCTTGGGGGCAAGCAAAGGCTAAATGTGGGGTATTTTGATATGTGTATTTTTATATATATTTTTATGCACTTTATCTTAATATTTTGGCCTTTATTATTCTCTTTTAGAACTAAAAAGTACTCATAATGCTTTGAATTATGTTTTGCAGCTATTCGTTGTCGATAAAGCACAAAAGAAAAGACTAAAGTGGAAACCGGACTTAGAAGCTTAAAGAAATGAAAAATGCTGGAGGACGATTTACGCCCAGCGTAATACACTTGTACGCTAAGCGTAGTGCCCAAAATCACAGTACGCCCCGCGTAATTAAAGGGTGCGCCCCGCGTACTGGTTGGCCTCAGATAAGTTCAATCGTGTAGTGATCCTTAGTACGTCCCGCGTAATCCGATGTACGCTCAGCGTACGTAAGTCGGTTACAAAGGTTATAAAAGTCGATTTTCAGCTAACCAGGAGGGGGGATTCGACTTCTAACCTAATTTAGTCGATAATTAACTTCTGTTAAGCCGTTTTGAGGGTCTAGAAGGCGGCCGGAAGGCCGTTAAGCTAACGGGAGCGGAGATCGGAAGGGTTGGAGAGCGGATACGTGTCGGTAATCATATGGGCTGTTAAAGTGACCATGTTTAGCATTCCATTGTGTTACTATTCTGTATTTAGTTTCTGATTTGGGTGTAAAAACCTTTTACTTTGTGTTTATGATTGAATGAAGCTTTGATTATTAGACTAATTGGTATATTAAATAGTTTGTTTGTGTTTAATTTATCTTGCCAAGCTTGTTAAAAGATCCTTACGTATTAATGATAATTATTTGCTGTTAATTGTTAAGTGAATTGAGTTGTATGAACATATGCTTGATTGCTTGTCTCTTATGATTTTGATGACCATCGAGATTATAAGTCTAGGAATAACGAATGTTAAACTAGGATTAACATGGGAATAAGTAAGTTAATGTGTGAGCCTTGTTTGATGACCATCAACAAGAGGTTAATTGAATGTCTAATTTGATTAACTATATTTTCAAGTCTTGCTTGATACAAACTGAACACTAGGAAGCATGTTAGTTTAATCAACTGATCACTGTTTGAATTAACTTGTTTGCTGAAGGATTAGTTATAGTGAATGCAAATCTAATCATTTTAGGAATCGGTGAACATGAATAAATGACTTTGTGTATGCAATTGTCTATGTTTTTTAAGGTGTAATTTGTCTAAACCAAAGTACTTGAAGAGATTTGTTTTCCTGTTAGTTTATCGAGAGTTGTTAATTAATTATTAGTTTGAGATTTATTAAACTATTTCTTTTATTCTTTTTCGTGTGACCTGTAACCTATAATCAAATATATTAAATTAATCCACCGTTCCCTGTGATCGACAACCGACTTACCTAAGCTATACTGTAATCTGACTAGGTACACTGCCTATAAGTGCATAGTTAGTCTAAGTTTGTTAGGTTATAAATATTAAAATTAATGGGTACTTTCGTGCACATCAAGTTTTTGATAACCAACCACCAACTTTTAAGGAAAATAAGGGTTTTTCCTAGGATAACTTAACTGTTCTTAACCAGACTGTGTAACAAATGGATAACTAAACTTTTCTTATAAGAAAATATGGGATTTTCTTGGATAACAACTTTTTCAGAAAACCAAAGGAAACTTGTTCTTTTATAGAAACAAACCGCTTATGAACTCACCAGCTTTATGCTGAGATTTCTAAAACTGCTTGTATTCTCAGGTTCACGTTAGACGGGTATCCCACGTTCTTTTGGAGAAGACGGAGCATTTTAGCATTCTCGTCTTTACTTTTGTTCATTTTGGATGTATATATATATATATATATATATATATATATATATATATATATATATATATATATAAACATGTATAACTTTGCTTTCAAACAAATGTAAATACTTCTATGTAATGTAATGGTTGTGTTTACTATGCTTACTATCTACATTGGTTGTGATACTTTACATGATGTCCTCCGCCTCGGAACGTTTCCGCCATCGATTTCGGGGTGTGACAACTTAACTAGTAATGACCCATCAAATTAATTCAATTATGATAGCATAAGTAAAGAAAACCAACTCAAGATTGAATCAGTGTTATCCGTTGGATATTCAATATATCTAATTGGATCCATCTAAATTCCATCTAAACCGAATCCAATATATTAATCCAATATATATTAGATATCTAATATATATAATTGGACCATCTAAATTTCATTTAAACTGAATCCATCTAATTTTCAATCAAAATATGATAGCATAAGTAAAGAAAACTAAAAACAAATTAAAATGTAGAAGTTGATGAACGACCAACCTGGAAAGAGAGGACACAAACTTGTGAAAGTTCTGATTAGGGATTTGGGGCTTTCAAGTTTCGATTGCGCCTTTTATATGTTTTAGACTTATTTTCATTATAATTTTAATAATGATTCTTATAAATAATTAAAATTTATATAAATAGTTTTTAATTAATTGGAATTTTTATTTTTAATTGCATATCCAATTGGAGAGAAATTAAATTGGATTAGTTCGGTATTGGGATTGTCATCCAAAAACCGAGTGATTCAATTTGGATATTGAAATTTCAGATGTAACATCTGTTCCAGGTATATACTTCTTTTATGTTCATAGCAATTAGGACTTCAAATATGAAATTTTTGGTGACCATGACGTGGTGGTGAAGACACCACAACGTGGTCTCACCTTATAAGAAACGTGCTTTTTCTTTTAGACACCACGACGTGGCAAGGTCTTGGCTATAATGTGGTAGTGGACAGTATGAAAAACCTTAATATTTCGAGTTTAAAGCCCTATTTAAGGGATGTAATGGTTAGGTTTGCTCACCCTCAACCTCCATCACTCCCTCTTGACCTAAAACGAACCCTAGCCTCCCTTGTTGATACCTTAAAGCTTTTTGTGGTGTTTTATGGTGTTGAAGGGGAAGAAGGTACTTTTGTGCATAGATTCAGCAAACAAGTCTCCCCAACACCTTCTTGCGCACATTATGGACCCTTGTAAGCCTAAGTTCATACATTTTATGTGTAATCCTTCTAGAGCTAGACTTTTAAGCATTTTTCTCCATGTTTAAGGTGGTTTGAGTGGATGGATTCCATAAAGTTTAAAACTTTATGGATCCTTGAGGTCCCTTTGTGGTCTCATGTTCCAGATCTAAAGTTATATAGTGTTTTGGTTCCGTGTATGGAGTTTTGACCTCATTTTTACCATTTTGACATGACTAGTTTTCTCGTCTGTAAGCTGAGTTTTCTCACTATACTTTGTACTGCAGTATGTATCCTTATGTGTAGGATGTTGCTATGAAGTAGTGATCTTTTATATAGGTAGATTTGTTTATGATCACATATGTTTCCTTGATATTGTTTGTTTGCATATGTCGACATATTGTGGTTGGATTGAGGCAGTTATGCTCTGTGTTGTAGGCCAAGATACTCAGGCGGTCTAGTATGTACTATAGGCCTAAGGAGAATGGTCAAACTACATGTTGTAGGTTAAAGAGAACGGTCCAATTGATATTGTAGGTTTATGAGAGAAGTCCAACCATAGGTTGTAGGCTCAGAAGGCGGTTCAGCCCTATGTTGTAGGTCTGGTGTGCATGCATTGTATGTGTATTATTGTTTGGGGTATTTTGAGGAACTCACTTAGCATTGACTTACAGTTGTGGATTTAAATGTTTCATATACTTCAGAGGATCGGGGCAAGACAAAAGTGTGGTTGTACACATCATCTGGTGGTTGTTATGTTTTGAGTGATACTATGATTTTATGATATGATCGTGAAACAAATTTTTTTGTGACTTATGTTTTATAGAGTTCTAAAAACGAAAAAAAAAATATTATAGTTTTTTGGGACGTTACATCAGAACCAATTCAATTCAATTCCAATTGGATATTCGATGTATGTTAGTCGGTTTAAATTGGATTGATTGGTTTGGATTGCATCTGATTGCTGTGATATGTCAGAGATGGTTTAATTGAGATCAGGGGTGAGAGTCATGTTGGTTCCTTCTTCTAATATCACGGTACAAAAGAGAAAGATGATCGTTAGTTGGCGTCCAGGAGGGATTCCCAGGACGATGCCCCGACGATCAAGTTAGAATGGATTCTAAGAGAAGAAAATGTAAATATGATGAAAAAGAGTTTTGTCCCCTTCTTCATGAGGAAGAAGGGTCCTTTCATACCTAATTGAGAGGTGCATGCCTCCTAACTGATTCTGTTGATCCTTCCCTCGTGAGACGTGACATGGCGGATCCATATTGAAGGATCTCCCGTTACGCCTTTTTGCCTCGTTGCCTCATTGGATAGAGGGGAATCTTCGATATTATGATGATTGTGATTGTCGTCAGATGGGCAAGTGGAACTCTCTGATTGGTCCCATGTTTTTTGGGGTGTTATTTCTAAGAGAAAAGGGCAAGGCGCAGTTCTGCTCCTTAACCGCCATACCAGTGACTCCGCGTTGGTGAGGGCCCAGCCTTGGCCTCAGACTGGATATAGCCAGATCCTAACCAGGCCAAGCTTGGCGTTAGTTTGACTTCCCTTTTTTTGAAGTTTTCCCTAAGGGATACGTTAACAAGTCCCATAGGCTTGTAGGAGTAGACGTTGGCTTGGTAGCGTCGTCGTTCAAGCCTATATTTCAGCACGTATATGTATGAGATTATCTCTAGCATTTGACAGACTTTAGAAAGCGTCGTAAATGTGTGTCAGATCCATCGCGAGACAGTTCGTGACGCTGTTTTTGCCTTTAAACCCCCCTTACCCAAGACCTTTCATCTTCACCTCCTTTCCTTACTTTCTTTGTATTGACTCAGGCATTTTATGAATTTCCTTTTTCTATCATTCGTTCGTTCTTGACGATGGACCATTATGACAGAGTCCCTACCGTAAAGGAATTCCAACTTCTGCAAGATCAATTTGGTTTCTTACCGGAGCACGGTGTGATGATTCCGGCGAAGGGGTCATCAATCTATGACTTTCCTCGAAGGAAAGTGGGGGGTTCCTATTCCTCTATTCGAAGCAAGGTTATGCCTGCGAACATCTGACTTTTTTGATATGATCGTGATCACTACGACTTTTCCGTTGACGAATTAACCCCAAGTGTTGTCAATAAGATCGTAGCTTTTGAACTGATTTATCGATCTCTAGGTTGTATACCTACTTTTTAGGTTTTCAGTTACTTATTCTATTCATTTACGAACTCCGGCATCCGCACGCTAGTGAAAAGGCAAGCTATTCGTCAGTTGATCTCCGAACAAGATACTCTGAAGAAAAATTGGCAGAGGCAATGGCTTTGGGTTAACCGAAACCTTGTGGGGCATGGGTTTCGTAAAACACGAGACTTTCTCGACCGTCTTCCCAAGCTGTTCAGGGATAACCTAATTCTTGTCAAACGGATGGGAAACATTATTGTCATTAGGGAGAAGTGGGAAGATTTCATTCTTGCCGCGACCAGTATGAGTGTCGCCTAGAGGTCACGTAGGAAGATCGCACAGTTATTTGTCGTGAGATGCGGTATTCACTAATCTCCTTCTCTCTCCTTTTTTTTGTTAAAAATAAGAACAGTGTATCTTATTGGCTTATGAGTTCTCATACTTGGTGTTTGTGTTCGCAGGTGTTGAAGCTGAGATTTCCTTAGAGATGGCCTTGCACGGTCACTATCGGGGTAAGCTTTGCCACCGAGAGGTTGATCTTGTGGAGGGTCTTCCCCCTCCCGTATCTAAAAAACGTATGCGGGAGCTCGCTGGATTTCTCTCAGCAGAAGGGGGAAATATTGGTTCTTGCAGACCTGCCTCGCCCGTCTTCCCAAGCTGTTCATGGATAACCTAATTCTTGGCAAACGGCTGGGAAACATTACTGTCATTAGGGAGAAGTGAGAAGATTTCATTCTTTCCGCGACTGGTATGAGTGGCGCCTAGAGGGCACGTAGGAAGATCGCGCAGTTATTTGTCGTGAGATGCGGTATTCACTTATCTCCTTCTCTCCCTATTTTTTTTGTTAAAAATAAGAACAGTGTATCTTATTGGCTTGTGAGTTCTCATACTTGGTGTTTGTGTTCGCAGGTGTTGAAGCCGAGATTTCCTTAGAGATGGCCTTGCGTGGTCACTATCGGGGTAAGCTTTGCCACCGAAAGGTTGATCTTGTGGAGGCTCTTCCCCCTCCCGTATCTGAAAAACGTATGCGGGAGCTCGCTGGATTGCTCTCAGCAGAAGGGGGAAATATTGGTTCTTGCAGACCTGCCTCGCCTTCCTAGCCGATTGTTAGGGTCGTTTCCTGATATGTGTATAATTAGTTAATTATTTAACATATATTCTTAGTTATTTTGATTAATTATGTGAATAATGTGGACAAAAGGTACTTAAAATGTTGTGAATTGTGTTTTCAGTCCAAAAGATATGCTTGGAAGCAAAAAGGAGAAAAGGAAAGCAATTGAAGATTGAAGAGTGAAAGAAGGAGTTCTACTCGGCGAGTAGATCGACCCTACTCGGCGAGTACACGAGGATATGCCAGAAGATAAGTACGACTGCTGATTTAAGACGGATAAGTATGGATCTACTCGGCGAGTTGATTCTGCTACTCGCCGAGTACACCCTGTTTTGGGATATCTATAAAAGACGAATCCTTATCTCATGGGAAGGGACCCCTGGCGATTTTTGAAGGATTAACTGCGACTAAGAGTTTCAGAAGGCGCTAAGGAACCCTAGGCTTCAAGAGTTGGAAGAATTCAAGCAATTAGGTTAATTCTACCACTTAGACTTAGGAATTGAACATGTTTGCTTTAGTAAACTTTGTTTTTATGTTTGTTTCTACTGCAATTATGAGCTAAATTCGTTTTTGTTTCTGTTTGGGGAATACCAAAGAACTCCTATGGTTTAATTATTAATTTTTGCTTAATTGTCTATTGGTGATTTATTAAATTAAGTTTGTTAAAGAACCTTATGTATTAATCACTACTATTTTCTGTTAATTGGAAGGCAATTAGGTTGCATGAACATCACTTAATTGTTAACCTCATATGTCTATGTGAATGCTAAACCATATGCTTAGAAGTAATGATTATGAAACTAAGATTAATAAGAAAATAGGAAGATTAATGTGTGAGCTTGTTTGAGAAACCATCAACAAGAGGTTAATTGAATTAATAACTTAATTAACCATTACAAATCTTATTTAATCCAAATAATTAATCTAGGGAATTAATTAGTTTAAACACTTGATCAACGCTTAAATTAGTTAATTGTCTAAGGGTTAGGAGTAATGAATATGAACCTAACTATTATAATTGGTAACCAATAGCAATTAATCCACCTTAACTTAAATAACCATAGGAGTGAATTGGTTGAACCTAAATAGAAACATCTTTATCAAATTTGGTGAATAGTTGTTGCTTTAGTTAATTAGTTAATTTAGTTTGTCTAAGTTTCTAGTCTTGCAAAACTAGAGAAAACCCTTTACTTTTATTATTTGTTTTAGTTAAAATTAGCTATTAGTTTAATTTCCCGTTCCCTGAGTTCGATACCTCACTTATCAATCTATACCACTTAAAGACAGGTTCACTGCCTTTGTGTGCTCAAATTATTAATAAAAAGTAGGGATAAAACTAGTTGAATTTACACACATCAAGTTTTTGGCGCCGTTGCCGGGGAACGGTTCTAAATAATTAAGCTAATTCCTAATTTTTTCGATCCTTTGTGTGAGTTTACTTGCATAAAGTTCATTATTGCAATTTAGTAACTGGTAATTAGGTTTTAGTATCTGTTTTAGTTAGGTTAAAACTTAGAATTTTTTCTTGAAATATCACTGATACTCGCCGAGTGCAATCGCACCTACTCGGCGAGTAGCAGTTTAGTCAGAAATATTTTTTTTATTTTTTTTCAATCTTTTTGTTCTTTTTACGTTTTTTTTTTATTTGATCAATTTCAGGACTTTCATGACCAGAGGAGCAAACACACCACTGGTACCCCCGTTTGAAGACCCCGAATCCGCATTGAAAAGAAACAAAGGGAAGGACGTGGAGAGTTCAAGCACACCAAAGAAATCACCATTGTCCAACTTGAAGACTGTTTTTGGGAAAAATAAGAGCAGTAAATCAGGAGCTTCTAGCGCTTCTTTGATAATTGAGGAGCCAGTTCAAGAAGATATTGGATACGAGACCGAGGAAGAAGAGGAGGCAACGTACGAGCAAGAAACCGAATCGGAGGAAGAGTTAGCATTCACTATGGCTAACATTGATGAAATCCCCATGGGAGAATGGAAGAAGAGGATGCGCGACGACCATGGCCCGGGACTTGTGCAACCCGCAATTCCCGCAACTGCTACCTTCGAGCTAAAAGGTCATATCCTAGCTTCACTCAAGGAAATACCTTTCTATGGGAAAGATCATGAAGATGCCTACAAACATTTGGATGAAGTAAATGATGTTGCTGATTACTTCAACATTCCAAATGTAACCCGCGAAACTCAACTACTTCGTATGCTTCCGGTAACCTTCAAGGGTGCTGCTAAAGACTGGCTCAAATCACTTCCCCCCGGGTCAGTCACTACTTGGGCCAGAATGAAGGAAGAATTTATTGATCACTTTTGCCCACCATCCAAGATAGCCAAACTGAAGAAGGCCATTGCAAACTTTGAACAACAAGCTGGAGAGTCTTTATATGAAGCATGGGAGAGGTACAAAAGTCTGCTAAGAAATTGCCCACACCATGATCTAAACAGCCAGCAAGAAGTTTCCATCTTTTATGATGGAGTCAATGTCACGACCCGGCAGTTGCTAGACTCACAAGGCCCACTTACAAAGAAGCCACCCCCGGTGATTAAAGAATTGATTGAAGAATTCTCTAAACACTCTAGAGAATACCACAACCCTAGGAATGATGTCACGAGGGGAGCCGCGTACGCTGCTACTGAAGATTTATCCGCGGTCATGGCCATGTTAAAAACCATGGATAGGAGAATGGACAAAATGGATCAAACTATCCATGCTATACGGGTGGGTTGTGAAAACTGCAATGGACCTCACCTCACTAGAGATTGCGATTTGGATGAGAACGGCAACAAAAAGGCACAAGCATGTTATTCGAGCGGTGACCGGTATGATGAGGACTGGCGTAAACAAAAGAAGGAGTGGCTGCCTTACGAAGAGTATAAGAAGGCCAAGGAGGAGAAGTACAGACAAAAAGGGAGAGGCTTTTACCAAAAGGAGGAGCCGGTGCAAGAGAGGAAGCCAAGCTTGGAAGATATGCTAACTAACTTTGTGGCCGCTTCCGAGAAAAGACATAGTGACCATGATGCTGCTATCCAAGAAACAAGAACAATGCTCAGGAACCAGCAAGCATCCATCCACAACATAGAAACGCAGCTTGGGCAACTTGCTCAACAACTAAACCAAAGGTCATCGGGTGAGCTTCCTAGCAAAACCGAGAACAACCCACGAGGTGCACAAGTAAATATTGTTACAACAAGAAGTGGGAAGATCATTACTCCCCCGGCCCCCATTCGAACTGAAGCAACCAAGGACTCACAGAAGGAAGGAACGGAAGAACAAGTAGAAAACCAACATTCACAATCTGAGAGTCCTACTCACCGAGTAGGGCCGATGGACTCGGCGAGTACCCCTGCTAAAACAAATGAACAGCCTCCCTTGAAACCTTACCAGCCTCCAATGCCATACCCAGCCCGAGCCAAGAAAGAGAAGCAGGAAGAGGAATATCAGAAGTTTCTAGATCATATTAAAACTCTTCAAATCAACATTCCTTTCATTGAAGCCGTCATGCAAATGCCCAAGTATGCTAAGTTCCTTAAGGAACTCCTCACTAACAGAAGAAAGATGGAGGAAGTGTAGAAGGTAGTGCTTAATGAGAATTGCTCCCCCGCAATGCTAAACAAGTTACCAAAGAAGAAGGGTGATCCGGGGAGCTTAACTTTGCCTTGCCAATTTGGCAACTTGGCTGCAATTCATGCCTTAGCTGATTCTGGAGCAAGTGTGAACCTTATGCCATACTCGTTCTTTAAGAAGCTGGACCTCCCGGAGCCAAGGCCAATTCGAATGGCAATTCATTTGGCAAACAAGACTGTTACTTTCCCAAGAGGCATTTGTGAAGATTTGCTAGTGAAAATGGACAAATTTGTCTTCCCGGCTGATTTCATCATTCTCGACATGGAGGCGGATCCGCAAGTGCCAATTATCCTTGGAAGGCCCTTCCTCAACACCGCTAGTGCTATCGTAGACATGAGAGATTCTAAGCTCACATTGCGAGTTGGGGACGATTCAGTGACATTCGGGGTAGACCAAGCCATGAAGTACTCAAGGAGTAGTGACGACATGGCTTTCTCAATCGACATGCTTGACTAACTATTGGAAGAAGACATACCTGAAGATTCCAGCAAGTTTGCAGCTTTGGATGAAGTATTTGACCCAGAAAAGGACTTACTAGAGATTGAAAGACTGTTGGAAGAAGCGGAGTATGAAGAAATAAAGAAGCAAGCTGAAAGCCCTACTCGCCGAGTAGACCCGATCTACTCGCCGAGTACATCTGAAGAAAAGCCAGAAGTCGTGAATGCAGCCACCAACTCGCCGAGTACCAAACCTACACTCGGTGAGTCCATCACTATGCACAACAAATTGGAGCTTAAAACACTACCTGACCATCTGGAGTATACATTTCTGGAAGAAGGAAATCAGAAGCCTGTGATCATAGCCTCGGACCTATCCAAGACGGAAAAGGAGGAGCTTGTACGCGTGTTGAAGAAAAGGAAAAGAGCCATTGCATGGAGCATCTTCGACATCAAGAGAATAAGCCCATCCTACTGCTCTCACAAAATCAATTTAGAAGAAGGAGCAAGGCCGGTGGTGCAACATCAAAGACGATTGAACCCGAACATGCAAGAAGTCGTCAAGAAGGAGGTGGTCAAGCTTTTGGATGCAAGAATCATCTACTCCATCTCCGATAGTCCATGGGTGAGTTCGGTCTAAGTGGTGCCCAAGAAAGGAGGAATGACGGTCATCACCAACGAAAAGAACGAGTTAATTCCAACGCGAACGGTAACCGGTTGGCGAGTGTGCATCGATTATCAAAAGCTAAACGATGCCACTCGCAAAGACCATTTTCCCCTTCCTTTCATAGATCAAATGTTAGAGAGACTATCGGGCCATAGCTACTACTGCTTTTTAGATGGGTTTTCAGGGTATTTTCTAATACCCATAGACCCAATGGACCAAGAAAAGACCACCTTTACATGCCCCAGTGGGACTTT